GTTACCAGAGATGTTATAATTATTTTATAGTAGGTTTCTAAAAAAACGCATTTCTTATTACGTCAATACTATAAATAAGTATTCCCTATTTTTAGATTCTCTCAAGACAAGTCTGTCGTGTTTGTTTAGTATATGAGAGCGAACCGTGAAAATAAAATATGGAACTAGTTTACTAAAACTTTACTCGCATACATTACAATGTAATGAGCCACATTTCATTATTACAGCAAACACATTTAAATGTAAATAAAGAATAATGAAGAAACAATTGCGCGTTACACTTGATCTAATTTAGAATGATTTGTTACGAGAATGTTTAAAATAAGGCAGGTAGGGCTTGAATGCGTCACAGCCAGCGTCTCGGTGTGATTCAGCCAATCGGACTGATGACCCCGCGGTGCTTCACTTCTATACAATATACACGCTACATTATTTTGTATGACGACGACTCACAGTTGACTCTTCTAAAAGCTAACGGTAACGTACAGACGACGCGAAAACTGTACAACCGGCTGCGAGTTGAGTTTTAAGAAGTGAAATGTACTACATCATTGTACACAAGAATTATAGCATAAGGTTTGTAAACACTGCGTATTGGCTGGCGCTGGCGTAATAAGATGGTTATGTAGGTGCTGTTCTGGTTTAATGGAGCAGGAACAAGAAGTCGTATGTGACACGAAAGCCACAGGATCGTGTTCGAAACAGATTGTGTGCTGTGTCCCAGTTACTTCAATATTGATCTACCGCAATACAAATAGTACTGTCGTACGGGTCAATCTGTGAAATCCGTTGAATTGATTATGAATTGATGATTCACCAAATAAAATTTGATTGAGATGAGGAAAGAAAAGTCCGCATTTTTTATCAGAATAAGTATGTAATTTGGCCGGCCTGTTCTTCGTAAAATAGACTTAAGATACTTTTAATTTACATAGGTACACGAGAAAATTTGACTTTCTGTACAATATACCTATTATAAGTAGGTCAAAGTGTGATACAGTGTGAAACGTTTCGCAGTCCCGGGGTCAAAGACGCCAAGAGTGTGTTGCAATTCGCGACTAGATAACTATGAGAGCTAAGATAGTTGGTGAATTGTCTACAGTAGTCTACACAGCTTGTGTGCAATACAAGTAGATAGGCAATACATTTATTAACTTTTTTAACGTGTTAGATTGAATCCTTAAAGCTTCTCAAGTACCTATTTGAAGACCCCAAAGGCCGATTTTAACTCTGAAACTGGCAATTCCGGATTCGCAGAAAGAGGCCGATGGAAACAGCCTGCCCTTACAGCGACTCATTTTCATTGAAACTTTTTTCTTTGTTAACTTTTTGCTGAAGCCAACTAGTTGCTGCGGGCCTGCGAGCATTTTAAGTATTTCTTACAGTTCTTGATACAAATGAATTTATTAACACGGGTTTCGTTTCAAAATTCGTTGGTTGAGAGTTTGTACCGTTTGTACATTATACTTACAGAAAATCTTTGCAAATGAAGACTACAAAAATTTTTACACTAAATTTTAGTGTTGAATGTATGTAGCTTAATATTATGTATAGTGTTTTACATAAAAAAAATAATAAAGGAAGGAAGCATAGGAATGTTATTTATTTATTTATTTAACAACTTTGGAAGACTAACAGCTAACAAAACAAAAATTAAGAAACCTCTAACTTAAGTTAAACATGTTATAGTCACGTACAAATACGAGCAAATATCATGGATTTTATTGAGTAGGTACTTTTAAAATGTTCAGATATAATATAACAATGAGGAAGTAAAAAGTACGAATAGGTACTTATGATGGATTTCTGCAAACTTCTATATTTCACTTCCAGCAATCACACGCTTCCTGTTTGTGTTGATTGATTAATAGCAACCTAGTTACCAAGATCGAACTGATTTAGTCTGGTATGTTTTCTTACTAAATCTACTAAAGTATATAACTCAATAATATCTAGCTAAATCTAGCTTGCGATCCCAAGAACTGGTAAAATCGTTATGCATGAACAATTACGAATTTTACTCGGAAAATCTTATGAATTCTGTACATAGACTTAGATCGAAGCTTCTAGATAGGTCTTTGTGAAACGATTACCTATGTCGGTAGCTGACAATCTTGCTGTTATGATCAATCACTGTTTTATTGATATCAATTGCAACTTTGAGGTCAGTGCATACGCGGTCTGCCAGTGGCAAGCAACATAGGCAAACAAAACTACCTACATATATATATACCCACATATTTAACTTGTGGAAATTCTGCGTCATAGATATACTTGGAAAGAATTTGCATTTCCTCGCAGATGTGGGTGGGATACTCAGAATTTTTTATTCGAATATACGACAATACAAAATCGCAAGAAAAATGATTTTCCTTAAATTAATACCTACTTACTGCACGTGGATGTAGTTTAGAACAGATCTGAGTCGCAAGATAATTAGGCAAATTTAATTGGACTGCTTTAATTTATTATCTTTTTATCTTTAAGGTTTTTGACAAAATATTACTATTACCTACTACCTATTTGAGAATCTGTTTTATCTGTGAAGTACCTATGTATCTTGGCCTAATCTAAGCCTAGCATTACCATTGCAGTCTGTAAGTAAAGTAGTTCTTAGATTCTTAATTAATTGAGAAGTATGTAAAAATATTATCAGATTTATCAGTACACAAAAAGTATGGTGAGTCACAAGCACATAGGTACTTCAAATGTCTATTTACGGTAGATTTCAATACATTTTGACACAAAATCCATACAACTAAGGTCAGAAATCAGTCTAAATCTAGAGATTTAGTATTTCATTTTCATTTAGTATGCACCTAGGTAGCTATTTGTTATTTCTTCAATCAGGGAAATAGGTTAGTGTTCTTATTCAGTGTTGCGACAACAATTGCCATTGTTCAATGTTTTTCCCGTAAGTATTCGAGTTCATTAAAAACTATTGTGGCTGTATAATGCTCTGCGCTATCCTGGCAACATAGACGTATTATATTTTATACAACTAAGCGCTATGTTGGCATCATAGACGCATTCAATTTTCTACAAGTCAGCCCTATACTATCCTAGTAACATAAACGTATTCAATTTTATACAAGTAAGCGCCATCCTGGTAACATAGACGCATTCATTTTATACAGGTAGTCTAGCGCTATACCAGCAATATAATAGACGTATTAAAATTTATACAAATAAGCGATGTCCTAGCAACATCATCATCAACATCATAATTATCAGCTACAGGACGTCTACTGCTGAACATAGGCGTCCCCCAATAACTTCCAGATAGGTCGGTTTGATTGAAGCGACCTAGTACTAGCAACATAGACGCATTGAATTTTATGCAAGTTTAAGCGTATGCTGGTAACATTAACACATTCAATTTCATAAAGCAATTCTACTTTAAAATTATGATTTTGATTCTGATATGACATCTAGCCCTATATGGTTACGTATGTATGAGTTAACATTAGTTTATTATGCCCACTTCTTAATCATAAGAAGCCACAAATTAGTCGTATCGATAAGTCTTGTAAGGAACTGAGTGTTGAGAAACTGATTGAACTAGCTCTCAATTTCAATGTTAGTCAAATTATATCGATTGCGTATAATGTCTACTAACTAGATACAAGCGTGTTTGTTTTTCATACAAAACGTGTTCTGCGGACGTAGGTAGGACTAGAGGGAGAATTATCAAAACAGATCACCGAATATCTAAATACATTATATGAACGAGCGAAAAACAATACATTATGGTAAAAATAACAAAGATCCACCTATAACGCTTGAATAATTAGTATCATGATGGAAAGTGTTAATATTTCATATTCAATACTGACGAATCTCGAAGGGTTAGAAGGCGCTTTAGAAGGCGTAGGCAGAAACGTCAAAAAGTGTTTCTAACATTAAAATGAGTGAGAAATTAAGGAAAAATAATGGCAATTATTGGGTACATAGCAACAAATTACATTTTGTGGAAATGTACCTATTTATAGGTAGTTACTTATTACTCATACTTAGAACGATTGATGCATAGGTGATCAGAGAATGGGTCATTTAAGGGATTACTATTTTGGATTTAAAAATTAAATATCTAGGTAATACTTATACTTAATTCTTTATTATATTTGGGACCTCGGTCTTTAGAGTATTTGTAGGGTTTGTTTCACGGGGCCTTATTTATGTTTATATTAGTCCAACTGGACAGTAACTGGACGTAGGTATTTGATGTATTTTCTTCAATCCGCCTGCCAAGCGTGGAGTTTATTATGTAAAAGCTCGTACAACAGGGGATTGTTATGGGCTGTTGAAAATGATAATGATAAATGTGAATCATTCTGTCAATCTAGTTAGCAGATATTGTGAAACAGACCCTTAAGGCTTATAATATTTAGGTATATTTATTACATCATAGCTGTCAACATGTTATGTGCAGAAAAAACCTTTTCTTGTCTAGCTATGCCAATATTAAGACTGTACGGCTTCGGGCCTTCAGCCAAAATTATTGGTGGTCAGACTCTCTGCGTCGTGATAAAGGCAACAGAGTGTACCTAACTTTATTTGCAAATCTCAATGTTAAATAATGTTATCTACAGGTTACATGACTCATGTAAAAATGTGCGCTCTTCTTATGACTACTTCAACTACTTGGCTAAGTTTTCAATACGTGCATGCAGTTGAGGTAACACGTAATTATAAATTATTTCTTTAAAAACAAGTTTAGTACCTAGTTCCTCTTCCTGGTTATCTACGAATGCGTACTGGTCAAGTATACGAATGATTACACTAACCCACGTGTTGTGGAGTTAGATAAGATGTGCCGAACATGTGCTCATAATAACGATACGCCACGCCAGAACACGATGACACAATTTAGGTACACGCAATCTGAGTTAGTGTGCAAATATTGGTACACAGAATAAGGATAATACATTAAATATTGCCACTTTATGTGATAAATATAAAACAATAGTAATGCATAAATAACTAGAATTTTCACTTACCTCATATACATTTGGATGCCATACTTTTGTTAAAAATCTAATGGAAGGTGGTGAATAAGGATAGTCTGGCGGGAATTTCATATGTGCCTGGAACAAAAAACATAATTTAATTAGGTCTACAATTTAGTAAGATCCCTAACAGTTTTTTTTTGATGGGGGACTTGGTAGAGCCTTATTAAAAATTAATGTTTTAACTAAATGAAATAAACTGTAATGTTTAAAACTTAAATAAACTGTATAGGTACCTAGTTTATTTTAGTTTTATTACGCAGCCATGGACACATACCTGTGTCAAGAGTAGGTAAATAATAAAAAAATTACTACTTTCACCTTAATTGCCAGTAAGTATTATAAAGTGGTAAATAATTTTATTTAACACGATGCATAACAACTATATTGTTGCATCACTATTTCATTAGAATACAATTAACTATTCATATTGATCATCAAAGTTTTAAATAACTGAAACTAACATTTATGTATTGTAGGTTAACAATATCCATATAGTAATAGATTATATATTACAACTTAAAATTAATAAACAATATTAAACTAATATTAATATTAATTTAATATTAAAATAATTTTAAATTGACAAAGAAAAGATAAGATTGAGTACGCACCTAGAATTACAGGATTTGTAATAACAATAAATTATTTCTGTAACTAAGCAGACAGGTAGGTTAGGTACACACTGTTTTTTCTGTTCCGTGGGTACACACAACCTGAATTTTCAACAGTTTTGGATAATAAAGTACAAACACTTTTATGGTGGTATTTTTTGAATAACTTAGTAAGTATTTTAACTAATTTTTTTTATTAATACATTGACATATCATCCCCTAAATTAGTTCATACAAAAGTAGTCTCTAAACATCGGAATTAAGGTCTATAACTGAGTTAGTGGAGAGCGGTCACCGGTGACCGCTTGGGGATCTGAACAGTTAAGATTTATACATGTATAGGTAGTTTCATGATAAGAATTAATAATTATGCTTATAACTTATGAACAGAGGTTTATAACACACTTATAATGGAACCTCTTTAAAGATAGGATTACAAGAAGCAGGACAAGAGATAATTAATAACTTAATTGTCTAATAAAGAGGTCTTATTTGTGTTAAATAAACATTGAGTAAAGTTAAACCATTTTATAATCTAGTGATAGCAAGTCAGATAATTACTTTAATTCATTTACATTCAGGCTATCCACTTTAATTTATTTAATAGTCAACTTTAGATACAGTGGTAATAAACCTAGGTACAGTGTGAATGTAGTTGTTTATAAATTTAAAATTAATAATTAACACTTCATGTTATTCAAAATGAATGTACGTATTACAAGTAAATGACTTACAATTGTTATTGTATGTTATTCAACTATTGTTTTTGAGCTCGTAAACATAATTAATTTACTAGCATCGGATATCTTGTATTTCATATCCATTCATACGATAATTTGATAAATTTTAAGATATAGGTACCTACTTTGTGTTATAAGATATGATTATATGCACTATAGAGGTTTTATCAAAGCAGTTATCAGTGCTTAATTGCTACTATTGACCTAGTACAAACAAATTTTGAAACAGATAATAAACAGACAGGTACTTACTATAACTGCTTCATCATTACAATTATACACTTCAGTATACTAGTAATTAGTCTAAGAGACAAAGAAATTTGCTTAGATTTTTACCTAGTCTAGTGATTTCATACTGGTACATTTTAAAGGTACTATTGTTTCATTTGGTACTGGTTTGGTACCTCTTTTGTTGGGTGATTAAGTAATCTCATATAATTTAGTTAGTTCTAAAATTTCTATTATACTTCTTTAATTATACAAGATATCCATCTTAAACTGTCAAACACCAAGCGGTCACCGGTGACCACAACCTATATATAAGTTTTCTATATTACAACCTATATATAAAATATATAAGTTCTTTGTGTCTATAATGACGGTACTCAACGAGTTAAACTGTTCACAATAAATAAAAATCCTTTAGATGTATAGTACCAATAAAGGGAACATTGAAACTAATATCGAGACTACAATTCATGGCCTTTTAAACCATAAAATCTGTCATTAGAATTGGTATTTGTGGGGCATTTACAGAGCTCTGATTATATTTTTCTAAAGCATAATAAAATAACAAGCTATCTAGGTAGTGATTGTGATATAGTAAGATTATGTATAGTATTTTGTTAAGGTAACATATGTTAATGATGCAAACAATGCAAAAAATGCATCAAGCTGGCATTAATGGTTTAATAGGATGGTTGTTTTCATTATAAAATACAGAATATACATTCTAAAATACTGAATTTGTGATATGTATGTATGGTATGGTATTATACCCACATAAATTCAATAATTTTGCATGTATATCCTTTTTTACTACATTTTTAGGCACAAATATTTTTAATATAGAATGTCAGGTCATTGCTAATGCAGTTATGTATGTAATGGACTCACCTTGAAATATCCACCTTGATATAACGTGTCTGGAGGACCGAAAATTGCAACTTCCCATTCAAATAGATTGTCCTCCCCTAAAAGTTTCACTCGGAACCCTTCCACGGGCTCCTCTTGCAGACTCTTATATTCTAAGGCCAAAGCCCTCAGTGCAGAACTGGTCGGAACCGTGTTAGACATTGTCAAGAACTAATTTTACTAAAATCACTATCTAAAAGAGATTCTATTAACATAACACTGCGGAACTCTCCTCGCGGTCCACGTATTCACGAGGCATTTCAACTTGAGTCACAACAACAACGAACGAGGAATTTTGGTAAACATAGCGCCAGTGTAGCTTACGGATTTATGATTCACACACTTCAAACGCCAATACTGTATTTACTTGCACAGTAATAAACGATGAAAAATGAGCGAAAGAACAGTCCAAACTACACGGTGATTATTACAACAATGAGAAAGCAACGTCCAAACAATCGCGATCCCAAGGAAAACGGCTGCGTGGTACAGCTGCTGCCTGAGTTGCCCGAGCGAATATTGTAGAACAGCTGTTATTTTATTTCCGTGCTTGATTGCGCAGTGGTGTGACGCACGCGGCCATTTATCGACTTTTACAACCACTACTGCCCTCTATCAAATTGATATCTACGTTAACTTGCTGAGATTCTAAAGACGAAGTTTCAACTTTAGATACTAGATGGCAATACAATGCAGTTTCGTGTTATTTTAAAAATAACTTTTTGATATATTAGTGCCATCTATACGACCATTTAGTTGTGGTTTAATTTTTGTTTTCTTTTTTTTTACTAGATGGCCGAACAAGTCTGCTGTGTGCCTAGTGTGTTTTTCGCAGTGATTTAAAAAGTATGTAGATGCTTATGGTCGAAGTTGAAGTTTTTAAAATAACGTTTGTTCTTATAGCTTGTCTTAACATGTACCTACGGATTAAGTACTCTTTATTGAGATAGATAAGTGAGAAAGACCTAAGCAAGAAAGGCGTGAAGTAAGAATGTTCAAATAAAGTTTAGTATCCTAATGAAATAAAATAGGTACCAAGGTAATTAAAAATTATTGTTTGTATTTAAGAACGTCCACATTTTAGTTAAATTATGTGTAAAGGTGTTAGATAACAATATAATAGGTATCTTATTCTCACTGGCTACAAAGTCGCAGGCAGGACCAGGACCTGACAGAGGGTCAGAGTCAGAAGACAGCATTCAGTAATTTAGGCACATAACAAAACTAATGGTAATAAAATCAGGGTGTAAACAAATGTAAGTGTACCTAGGCAGGTATCGTAAAATAAACCGGCTCAAACAGATAGGTAAGTACCTATAACTTTTACATTCATATTTAAAATAATTAGTCAACTGCCTCAAAGTAACGGTGTAGAGCAGAGATTAAGCGTATATTGGTGAGCTAGTTGCATTCAGACAAGACAATTGGTCCGTGGGCGCGTGATTCAAAGACAAGTCGCCCACCCACTGCCATGTATAGGCAAGGCAACGGGCCTTGCGCAACCCACGTCTGGCGCGGGCATTAATTCCTTTACTTGATCAGACTTGGCCATCGATAATTCGGTAATATTTTTATACATTTAGCACAATTATCGAAACAAATACTTACTTTCAAAATTGTTGTGAAATCCTTGTTCATTGACTTGTAAATGTGACTGTTGAGCTCTGTCTCATATTGAGACCTAGGTTTTGATTTTAAGTTTAATCCGGTCAATATTGTAATTTATGGAATTTTCAAAGTTCTCGATTATGTTCAGTCAAGACTACAGAACTTTTTATATCTATGTTCAGAAGCCAGGAGCGTCTTGCTAGAAATTCACTTGTGGTTTTTGCACCCTCGGTGTTTGGTTATTTTAGTAGGACATTCGGACACTGGAAGGCCTACGTATAGAGGGAATTCATCATCTCAAGCCTTTTTCAACCAATTTGATGTAGGCCTCCTTCAAATTTTTCCATTTAGTTCTGTTTTGGGCTGTTTAACAGGTATATAGTGAGGTATTTATTATTAGAGGTAATACAGGTATTATTAGAGGGAATTAACTAACAGGTATATACATATTAATACCTACATAATGTTTATTTAAGTAGCTACGATATTTCTGTTCTCGTCCCGTCTTTCCTTTTCAATTCGCATCTCCTTTGAGTACCTAGTGTCGGGCCACTCAGTTCCACGAAACTGGCGGGGAGGGATGATTTTACTTACAGCTGAAATAAAATATGATTCAAACATGTCCTTATTATGCTCTTGACCAATTTTCATTCTCGAATATTTCAGTAATTCCTTTCTTACGGGACTTGATGGTTATTAATGAAAAGATAAAAATAGTTTGTAAATAAAAGTGTACCTAACAGAATCATTAGTCCTAATAGTTTAAGAATCCAATCCACGACATGTCTTTAAGTCGATAGGTTTTTCCTTATAAGAGTGTGTTTATTCAAATGGTAGGTGCGTATCTGAGAGTGACCTACACAGCGTTAATCAGCTTCATAACAAATTACAATAAAACCTTAGTAGGCAAACCTACTAGGTACCTACATATATATGTAGCTGTTTACATAAGAATAATAAATGATTCACTTGAACTCGACCCATATACTTTTTCCTCTTATTAACTGTGACTGGATCATCGCGGTCTGGCGAGATTTTTAGTAAATTGTTCATAGGTTAAAATAAAACTACAGTCATAAACAAACATATTGGTAAGTCTAGGTGACCAAGCTAGTATTTCTTTAAACGGGTGGGTAGAGATATAATATTCATCAACAAGTGAACTCCAGTTCTATTAAAACTACGTGCCCTAAAATAGGGAGAGAGCTAAAATATCAGGCACAACCATTCTAAAAGCCACCTTCCATAATACTCATAAATTGTCTTCCAAAACAAAAGCTAGTCAGTCTCTATCACAGTCTATAAATACAACCACGTACATAGATGCCACTACAATTTGCATATATTTACATTGTTCATTTCACAAAATATCGAATTTCTTTCGAGTGTATCTACTCAGTATATATGTTCAGTGTTTGCTAAAAATCCAGGTCATTCGAATGCAGCGGGCTCCGATCGAAGCGCATTGCATCGCTTGCTGGGCCGACTACCGATTCTGGAAGTTGCACTGCACCAAAATATTATGCAAATATCTGTGTCACATAACCAGCCCGTGCCTACCCTGAGATCAGTTCACTTGTATCATTTAACATAGAACTGTGTGGGCAGCGTAGCCTTATGTTTTAAGAAGGCGTACAATATTTTTATGAATGAAAACTTGTATGAAAAAATAATCGATGACGGTTCGATAGATAAAGTTTTTAGTCAATCTTTTTCGTTACTTATTTATAGAATTCAGGTTTTATTTTCGTGTGGTTTAATCAGTACGTATAAAATAACACATAAGTGAAAAATAATGCTTATTTACTAACGTTATTAGTCAATATAGCATCTACCAAATAGATAGGAAGTTCTTAAGTTTAACACCAAGTTACTGATTTTGTGACTAAGTTACGATCTAAGTTACGCAGGTTAAATAGTTATTGTACCACATCAAACAAAATGTGACCCTGTGCCACTAATGGCTATGATTTTCATGAATAAAGAGAAATGTACAAAACTAGGTCATTTTCACGTAAGTTACCCACTTCGCGTTCGCTTTTCATAGGATTACCGTCGATACGCGGCTGAAGCCATGTAAGTCTAGTATATTCAGAGATTCCACAATCACGAGTCTCTCTACTAGCACGGAACCGCCTAGAGAACCTGACATGTGTTGTTGGAAATATAATAATTATATTAGTGTCTTGATGAATACCTACTTAGTGCGCAAGTCTCTACTGAAAGACTATTCAATATTTTTTATTCATTGAAGGGTGGTGCTTTTGTTGTGTTGTGGTTGACATTTAAAACATCAGAGGCTAGCTAGTAGCTAGCTACTTGGAACTTATCGATCTGTGGGATTTGTTCAGCAACAGACTCGGATCAAGGTGATTTGATAATATTGTCGACCGGTTAATTATTGTACAGCGCACTGTTGGTGACTAAGGTTCGTGATTAAGTAAGCAGTGAGTTTAGCAGCTTTTACGCCATTTTTGGTATGAGTCCAACAGTGAGATGTAAGCGCTTACGTGTCGGAGAACTCTGGTGGGCGCGATGCGCGGCGTCAAGGTGTGAGGGGCGCACGCGCAGAGTACCACAATCCGCGAGTCAGTTGCGAGGAGCGCGCGCGCACTCAGCGACACACGACACGAACGACTCTCGCGACCAATATTTACTTTGTACATGGCAAATGTTTGACGATATTTATATTATGTGATTAGTTTTTATTTAAAAATATTTTAACGTGGTAATTTAAGAATCTCCTGTACAATTAATTTAAAAGTTTGTATGTTAATAAGTTACTTTGTGGGACCAAAATGACGATAAAAAATAAAAAGACTAAACAATCAAAAACATCAGAAGTGACTTCTTCTGGTAGTGCATCGACTAGTGTTCAGAAGACAAGTTCGACTACTTCGGTGCAAAGCAGTAGTAGTAACACGGTGCAGAAGGTCAGCTCGTCGGGTAAGAAGGTTCGGTACATCGAGGTTAAGGTCGAGGAGGATGACCCGCTTATGATAACTGACATTTCGGACCACTCTTCAATAGCCGGCTCCACTATATCGGAGCATTATAATAGCCACCCGCACTACATTATTACGGAAGCTCCTTCCATCAGCGACCTTTCGCAAACCCGAGCGCTGGAACATAATGTGAGTGACATGGCACAGTCAACATCGGGAGAATATGTCTCTAGTTCGGTCCTCCAGGAGTCTTCTTCGTCCCATCAGAATTCTAAAAGCGAAACATTCCAGACTTCATCAACTTCTGTTCAGCAATCAGGCTCTAGTCACAGCCAAACTTTTGACAGAACGACTGATTCCTCGGCTCCAAATCAAACTCTTAATACAGGCTTCATCGATAACTCTTCGACTAATGTTCACAACACTAACACGTATGTGAAACGATCTCAAAATGCAAACGCCTCCAATTCGTTTCTCCAATCGGAGCGTCAGAGTTTAGTTAATCAATCAAAATCGAATACTAAGGATCAACAGAATACAAAACAAAACGAGAGGGTGACTTATCGCAACTCTCCAGATCCTTCCCAGAGGACCCAAACGGTTCGATCTGACTCATCCAACTTCTACGGAGGTGAAGGCAGCTTGGATAAGAGTGGTAAAACTAAAGAATATACTAGTACTTCGCAGTCAAGTGAAACTAAGAGCAGCAATGTCACAAAATCCTCGTCATCCTCGTACGTCGTTGAGATTGTTGACGGTAAGGAACGTATCATTGACAGTTCTAAGAGGGAGTGGGGAGATGCACAAGAACACTCATCTAAGGAGGATTATGCGACCATAAGTGGAACTGGCATGAAGCCCCAGTCTGCTCACAGCGTCCAGAACTATGATATGAAAGCAAATTATGACACAGGAAAGGATGGAAAGAGACCTACTAGTGAATTGACTGTAAAACAAGACTCAAAATTCATAAAAGATGGAAATCAAATGACTTCTCATTCAAGTATTACGACGGAGAAAGATAATGTTGCTAAGCATCAACATTACATAGCAAACCGCGAGCATTTAACTGACGATCAACAATATATAACAAACCGTGATCAAGTAACAACTGATCAAAAGTACGTGACAAACCGCGATAACCTAACATCTGACCAGCGGCATAACACAAGTCGTCAGTATGTAACATCTGACCAGCAGCATGACACTAATCGTCAGTATCTAACATCCGATCAACAATACACAACCAGTGAACATTCAACAACTGATCAACATTACACAACTCGGGAACATTTAACTTCTGATCAACAGTACACTACTCGTGAACATTCAACATCTGATAAACAAACTTCATCAATAAAAGATGATCACTATCAGTCAAGAAATGTTTCTAATAATACCAATCAAAATCGAAGAGATATTGTTGACAATAAAACCACTGTCAATAAGGAAATGGTTGATGATCGACGACGTAATATGAATCAGACAGATTCATCCAACTTTTATGGATATGACACTACTATTCAAAATGAGCTAAGGAAAGTGGGTAATATATTACAAGTGCCGAATACCGAAAACATAAACTTCTCAACGAAAATCATGAAAAGCAATACAAGTAGTGCTCAGCAAGCATCGACGTCCTCTTACGTTGTTGAAATTGTTGACGGGAAAGAACGTATTGTGGACACTTCTCATAGAGAGTGGGGTGATAACAAAGAACATTCTACCTACGAGAAGAGTCACAATGTTAGTGGTCCAGGAATAAAACCGGAACATGAATATACACGACATGTACTGGATAAAGAATCTCATTACGACACTGGTAAAGATGGAGTTCCTAAAAGCTCTCTGCAGGTATCAGAGGAATCAGCTTTGTATAAGAATGGAAAAGAAATTGCTGCTACTAGCAACCGCTATGGAGGTGATTTCACCAAGAAGAAGGCAATAACGGAATATGTCACTGATAGAGATGATGTCCATGACACTCGTGTCCGTGATACGACTGATCAGACAACGACATATAAAACTACAACTACTGACACTCAGTCTCATGTAAGAGACATAAAAGATGTGAAAGACACTACTGACTTCGTGACCACAGAGAAAGAAAACCTGACGAAAGAGTCCACATCTAAAACTACTTCTCAAACTAAAGATACTTTGACTACATACGAAAGGAGCACTGGGACATGGAATGGAAAGTTTGTATATGAAACAGACGACGACAGGCCCAAAAGGCCTAAAGAGATGTCACCATTCGGCAGGCCTGAACAACCGAGACATCACTTAAAGCGACAGGACACAGAAGAAAATATTATTTTATCATCTAGAGATATTAAAGACTTTACATCAATCAGTGATTTGAGAAAAATCATTGAGAGCTCTAAGTTCAACAAGGATGTACGAGTGAGCAACAAAAACATCGTTATCAACAGAAACATTGACGATCGTATCCTAAAAGAAATTATAGATACGGTGAAAAAGTATCCATTTAAGAGAATTGAGAAAGTAACATTTGGAACTAAGATTAATGAAGATGTGAAGGACCTGTACGAAGGACTTGATACAGAAGAAACTACTGTCGTTAGTACCACTACAGGCGAAACGACTAGAAAGGCATTCGAAGTGGAAAAGAACAGAAGTCAAATTGAAGTCACTCGATACATCACTGAAAATGGCATTACTAGAAAAATAACAACTTACGAAGATGCTAAAGAAGACGACAAGATCAGGACAGACGTCTACGTCGACAAGAGTGCGTTAGACTTCAAAAACTTGGTAAGCATTTTGATTTATTTTCAAAAGTTTGTTTTTGTTCACAATCTCTATTGCAATCAAATTAAACTTGGCATAATTAGATAGCCATAATTAGATAGCGAGATATTAGTATGTAATTATATTGTGTACATCAAAGTATCAATCATTGTAATGCACTCCAATTGATAAAGTGATATTTTGATTGTTTTATCAGTTTGGAGAAAGTAATTGATAAAGTATTTGTCATTACAAGAAGTCAGAAGTATCTATGTGTACAAGACATTAAAACATTTAATTAATTTCAGCGCGATGTCCAAACGACCGAAGACGTTATTCGAGAATACGACGTGGTGGACCGTGCTATCACGGACACCACAAGAAAGGATACTGTCAGCACCGTCTACGATGAGACCATCATCGACGACAGGAGAACAATGCGAGACGACAGGACTACGGTTGAGGAGACCGTCATCATCGACGAGACCAGGCCTAAGGGCCCCGGTCCCAAGAAACCCGAGAAGATTGTCACTAAGGAGCAGTGCATCTGTGAAATCTGCACTTGTGGGTGAGTAATTACTGCTTCTTCTGATTCTTTTGTATTAGGTACCTAATTTCTTTTTTTTAGTTACACCTTTTGATACGACATTTTGCAGTTGTGTAGGATTCCGCGCATCATAAACAAGTAGGTCAAATGCTGATTGTCCCTAACTGCTGACTATTCTTTCACACAAATACGTGGCTATATACTTGTACCTGTATAGGTTAGGTAATTGTCATTCTGACTGCAGTTAAATTGATGAATGCGCACCGCCATTAGCGTGGTTCGCAAGAATGTTGAACAATTCATGGCGTCATTTTATTGTAGTCAGATATTTTTTGCTAAAACGTTAAACCAAATCTTATTTTATAACTTTATTAGACTCATGTACAAAATTAACACAAAGGTTTGGAATTATTTTTTTAATTAAAGTATTCTGATGACGAAGACTCGGTATTAGCTGGTATCAATAAACAACATTAATGTACTGCTTTCCATTTTGCATAAATATTATTTAATGATACAATATTGTCATTTAATTCACGATGTTATTGCACAAATGAACATTTCGTCAGGTGTGCCACTGATATTGAGATAAAATTTTGTGGGTTTTACACTGATAAAGCATGATAATATAGGTCATATAACACACAACGCTACGCAACGAGCATTGTTTCATGACTGCTGTTAATTATGAATGACAGCGCCTTGTTTAGAAAATATTTGCTAATAATCCAAGTGATTTTTTTGAAATTACTTGTGTATAGAAAGTAAATAAATACATAGGTGTATGTAAATTAACTTGAATTAAAGTCAACGTTTCGGTGTATCGATTGATTTGCTTAGAATAATAAATAGAATAGACAATTTGACGTCACATTGCGTCGTTTGTTACCAAAGAGTTGACGTAACGATGTATTTTGGTAATAATTTCTTTGTAATAGCGTCTATAGCTACACTCGTAGCTATGTTTATCACTTTTTATAAAGGTAGAGCGAGTGAGCACGACGTTGACCGTGAAAATCATCTGAGTAACCGTCAAGTCGTTGTTGTAACTCGGTATTTTTTTACATAGAAATTCAATGAATATGTTCAGCAGATCATGCAACGATGATTCAATTTTATTAACGTCTTTTACGTCAGTTATTTTTCTAAGTCATTCTTGAAATATTTATGTGATAGGTATATTAATTTGTTTCTTCTAAAGCGTAGGTTTGTTTTGTTTCACGCCACGTCTTTGAAGATACGAGCTACTAATTTGATGAATATTGTTACAATTTACAATAAGCCGTCGTGTCCGGGCAAACGTGTTACGGTGATCTGTGACACGACACAGTCTGCCTAATGAAGTGTTACGCAATCACTTGTAACTTTACTAACCGAATGTCTTGGGCGCGTTGTCGTAATGTCTCAATAATAACTATCACATTGCCCTACTGCCTTCAGCTGATATTAGACGATTATAGATTGTTGCTATTGAAGATAAAAATAATCTACTAGATAAGTTAACTATTGGTAAATATACATAGACAAGTGTACAAACCATGCCTACTGCTAAGTAAATTTATTAATTTAATTTGACTTGGTGAATTGCAAATAGGAATTACGAATTAAATTAAGATTATTCATCGTCCAACTAGACATCTGATGACTTCAATATTTGAGGTTTAACGAGTTCAGTCTGCCATTTGGAGGTATTTTGCCAATGTTTGAAATTGATTAACGATTGTCTATAAGAACATACTTACTCGCGTCTGGCAGAGTGCCTAGTCGAAGTAAATATTTTTGTTATCGTGTGAGTATCCACAATGTCACGGCTATGCGTCCACGGCCATGTGACTTTGCCCAATGAACTCTGTTAAATCAAATTATTTCTCAACTTGGTGAGAAGTTTAATATTATAAATAAGTATGGTAATATGTGAGTCATGCCGCCACCTCTATCGGTTTAGCAACAGCCTTTTATTGCTTGCTTCACTCGCGTGGGCTGTATATCGAATAATACAATTAGTATCGCCCCCGATCTGAAATATGTTTACTTATAACTTGTATACGTCTACTTACCTTCATTCAATGTAGGTAGGACATTAGTTATAGTTAAGCCTATCTCAGACATCTGTCATTAGGAAACAGTCTTGTTGCTTCGTTCATCACTAATTCTGTGCCTCATTAAGACTAAACTTAAGATAAAATTCCGTTACCTACTGTATGCTGAGATTAATATTACTGTTTGTTACCAAGTCGTTTTTGTTTTACAGTTGACATTACATTTTATCATTATTATTACAGTTGAATATGGCGGTGTTAACGTGCAATGATAATGATTACTGCCAATTACTTTTAATTGTGCGCCCCAAATAGCTCTCACATTCTGAAAATTTACTTTTATCGGAATAACACTGCTGTTTGAGCCGCAAATTAATAAAAATCTAAAAAGATTAAGGGAATAATAACAACAGTTTATAATAAAATAAAAGATTAGTTATCGTTTCCGTATTTATCGCTTTTAAACTTGATTGATAACGTGACATAACGTACCTTACCTGCCGTTAATAAACCCTTATTACATAGATACGTTACCGTGCACAGATAATATAGAAGGTTATAAGAAGCATAAATAACTGGCTGGTGATTTATTGACATTACGTCAGGCGGGAAACAAGCGATTGTTGGAGACAAAATGTACGTACATAGTAGCAATGTGACATTATGTAGGTGGGTGTATGAAGAGACGGGACAGGTAGACATCATGATTGTTCTTATGAGTGGTTTTATAGCTGTCTAAGGTACAAGTGCATTGTGTTGGTAGGTCGAAATTACTCGAGCGGATCACTAGTTCCTCGGTTGACGGTTTACGCTTTTAGGGAACAGAGAGTATAGTTCCCTAAGATCGGAAAAGGAGGATCCTCCGACCAGGCGAGGTGATCGTGCCTGGCGGGCTTTCTGCCCAACAGTTGTTCGTTGGGATTTTCTATCCGTGTTTATTCGCTTGTAAACTTTGCATGTGCGATGTAGGATTCTTGTGACGTCATCCGTTGACATGTGGCATGCGTCGCCACATCACTCCCTCCCAAGACCGGAGGTCGATCCCGTTGAGACGGCTGTCGATGCTTGAGATGAGTGGCGCCAGAGCCAGAGTAGAACGTCCCTAGTTCCAGTGGGTCGGAACCGTGCCGCTGAGTGCCCAGTGAGTCGGGTGAGCGGTGCAGGGTGGTACTCCAGTGAGTCGGAGAGATGAGCTCGCAGTGTCCCACGGTGAGTCGGGGAAGAGATGCTGCGAGGGTAGGTGCGTAGTGGCTGGCGTCTGCGTTGACGGGAGGAGATGTCCTTCAGAACCGTGTGCAGAAGTGCTGTGCCTAGACGCTGGCGAGGCCGTAGGGAAGAACCAGGCTGCACAACTTCGTTGCAGGCGATGGTGGTCCCTGATGAGGCCGAGGATGCTGGTTGGCTGCGACTTGATTACCGCTCAGCGGAGAAATGATGAGAGGGATGGCGATACGGATGACGGTGCTAATCTGCTCCGTGAAGTGAAGGTTGTTTCCAATCACGTCGGGGTCACCACTTTAGGGAACAGAGAGTATAGTTCCCTAAGATCGGAAAAGGAGGATCCTCCGACCAGGCGAGGTGATCGTGCCTGGCGGGCTTTCTGCCCAACAGTTGTTCGTTGGGATTTTCTATCCGTGTTTATTCGCTTGTAAACTTTGCATGTGCGACGTAGGATTCTTGTGACGTCATCCGTTGACATGTGGCATGCGTCGCCACACGCTGATGATAATAATATAGCCGATAATATTCTCACATCTGATCAAACAATGACTTAAATACAATAGCTTTTACAGTAGTTCGATACTTTTGAGGTCTCCTTTGTTTAGAGAATGTGTGTAAGTGTCAGGTGTGGAATTCCTTAGAAACTGATCAAATCAAGCAGTCGGTGGCCGTTTATATTTTTGTTGAACGTTATGAAACCCATATCATGCTGTGTACGGAATAGGTACAAATAGTGTATCGTTTGGTAGTACATAGATACTTATGTTAAATTGCTTAAACTGGAAGGTCCATTTTTGTCTCTAGGGTAGTTTCGTAAATTTTATTTTAATGTCCGTCTGGTGCATTTAATTTAAAACTTTAAACACGTATTTTTTCTTTTCTTACAAAATTAAATACTTTCGGCTATACATATTATAATCGCGTGACGTCACAGCGTGTCACATTTAGTAGCACGTTATGACGTAACGACCTCCCACTCCTAAAATTAGCACCGTTTTATCTTAACTTAATACGAGAAAATAAAAAAAAACGTGTCTAATATTTTTTCATTATCTAACTGACGGACTAATTAGATTTTTAATTTTGATACCCTGGAAACTACCCAATTGTGAAGATGGGTAGGATGCCAAACTTAATAGTTACTTTACGAGGCTCATATAGATATTTATAAACGTGATTTTATACGCTTGGTAAAGCCACATCAAGTTTTGGTTTATACATCATTACTGATTTCTTTAAACGCGGCGAATATCCAGAGACCTAATTTAAAGCCTTAATAGGCAGCAATAAATTAAAGTTTTGAAATAGTTGTACAGAATGTATCTCGTTGGCTACCTGCGATGGCGTTACATCACGCTACATCGTGTGTTCCGTTCCCAGTGACCGAGCACGAAGGACACTTTTAAAATTAAAACCAAATAAACAACTGACATTAATGTACGTCGAACAATGTCACCGGAAAATAACCTTAAAGTTGTAACTGTTACGATATATTTTTGGTATGAAGTTAATTTACTGCAAAATGTTCTTCCTACTCTAACGTAGGTAAGTATAGGAATAGTAGTGGTACCTTACCGCGCCAGGCACCTCTATCTATCCTCGACTATCAATTCTGCGTATCTTACTCAAAGACTGATGATCTGGTTAATTAACTTCCATTCATTTCAATCAGACGTATAAATTAACGTTGATTGAGTCTGGCAAATCGTAAAACTCAATGGCGTCGTTTTGTTCAACGAATGCGACCGCTTCGACTGCCGT